TATACTTTAGGCACAAACATTCTGAGTCATAGGAAGATATTATGTTAAAATTCAACAGTGTAACATTATGGTTCAAATTTGGTCTTCCTATTTACTCTATATATGGCCAGTTATTTGGAGTTTGGACCTCTTGAAAATGAATGCAACCTACTATTTTTTTTTCAAACAATGTGTCAACTACTAGGTACAACTTAAACATATATTTGCAGTAGCAAACAGCAGACCATGGGAGCACTAAGAATATTGGACAAAAGAGCAGATAAACTGTGTTTCCTGTTCTTGACAAGTTAATCATAACGAAAGTGTGTGCTGCACAGTATTATCAATAGGCAATGCAACTTTTCTTTTGATTCTTAAGGGTCAAGATTAGAAGTACCTTAATAGCAAATGTCAAAACTTCGCGTCTTAATCAGGGCCATATTTCAATATATGTACAGCAGCAATCTGATCTTTCACAGTACCTGAAATGAATTACAGATACAACCATCAAAAGAATATTCCAGGCACTGGAAGTTCAAGGCCCAAATGAAACCATGGTATCGAAACGCGCCTATATCCCCTAGACAAAAAGAGCACAAGTTTTTCTTTAACTTGAGAGGTGGTGTTTGACAGCTAATATAAGTTTTTACAAAAGGTCAAGTAGAGCTAAATTAACTTGATAGAATTTAACATAGTGTGGTCCAAAGTCAAATTTTGATATTTTAACAAGATGAAAGGGTGCTCTCAAAACAATTTAGACATTCAGCTAATGCAAGACCATAGGACATTTAGGATGCAAGCACCTATTATAAAATAATTCAAGTTGCAAGAAAAAAAATTGTATTTCAAAAGAGCCTCAGCTAACTAACAGACTATGCTAATCCAAACTTCTTATATAAGTAATCCAAGGACAGCAACCATTTCCTTGTATCAACAACAGCAATTTATTTGCTGGAAGTCGGAGTTCACCAGTAATAATCACGAAAAAAACACTAGGATTAAAATGCAATGCAATAATTTTGTTTAGGGAAATTAAAATGCAATAATTTGATGCACTCTGAACAACAAAAGGCTAAAGGAAAGACTAAGTGGGAAGAAGCACTCACAAGAAATCATTTCATCAGCAATGGCAACAGTGAATGATCTCACCAAAAATCAAAGCATCCTCCCAGCTCCGAGTCTGACAATGTGAACACTAAGCTGATAGAAGTGTCTCAACTCAGTCCAGATGTCCCCCACCTATGAGGTTGGGTTCGAGTGTATGTGTGTCAGTGTGTGTGTGTTTGGTATGGCTGTGTTGGTGTGGTGGTCTTTTGGGTTTTGTACATTGGTGTTCTTCTCAATCCAATGGTACACAGCTCCCCTGCGTATTTGAGAAAAAAGTTTCCAATGTATAAACTCAGCCTGTTGACCAGCAAGTCCATATGATATGATGAACTTCCACCATATGCATTGAGCATGATATCTCATTTTCTGTTTATTTCATAACCGTCATGAGGTCTCTTTTCTTCATTCACAGCCTCGTCAAGTTTTCAATGGGGGCCAGTAACATGATACAAGATAAATACACCATTCTGGTCGACACTGCTTCACGGCAGAACTAGGGTACGACCTGCTATTTTGGTTATTCTCTTTCCAGCCATCTCAGTCCTAACTTCAGAAACATCTCCCCACCTGTCAATGTTAGCATACATATTTGACAGGGAGACATAATTTCCAGCATTATCCGGTTCAATTTCAAAAAGTTTCTTTGCTGCAATTTTTCCAAGCTCAATATTACAGTGAAGCTTGCATCCACCCAACAGTGCACCCCATGCTCCAGGATGAGGTTTCCCAGGCATCGACATGATAAGCTGATATGCATCTTCTAGCATACCATAACGTCCAAGAAGACTGACAAGGCAACCATAGTGCTCACCAGATGGCACGATCAAGTACACATTCTTCATCATATCAAAGAACTTCTTCGCTTCTTCTACTAGACCAGCATGACTGCAAGCTGTTAAAACAACTGTAAACACAGCATTATCGGGGGAGAGGCCCTCCAAAAGCATCTGAGAGAAAAGTTCAACAGCCTTATTAGCTGAACCATGGAGGCAGTGACCTTGCATCAGTGAACAATATGAAAACACATCTCGAACTGGCATAGACTCAAACAAAACAGTAGCCCTCTCCAAGTTCCCACACTTTGCATTCATGTTCACAAGACCAGCCAACACATGAGCATTGTTCATATCTATAGAGTACTTTGTGATGTAATCTTCAATCCACCTTGCCAACCTGATGTTACCTAGCTGGGAGCATGCAGACACCAGGCCAACAGCAAGTAGTTCGTCTGGGTGTATGCCTTGCCCTTGGAACTCATCAAAAGTCATCAAAGCCTCCCCAGGGTAACCATTCTGTGCATAACCTGATATCATCGCTGACCATGAAAACAGATCACGGTCCTCTAACTTATCAAACAACAACCTTGCAACTTCCATGTTCCCTGCCTTTGCGTACCCGCCAATCAAAGATGTACATGCTGTGGTAGTTCTCTCAGGCATTTCATCAAACAGCCTCCTTGCGCCCTCCAAGTCCCCACACTTCACATAACCATCAACCATCACATTCCAGTGCACGGCGTTCCGATGAGGCATTCTATCAAACAGCTCTCTGGCTGTCATGATGTCACCATTGTTGACATAGGCAACGATAATGGTGGTCCAGGAAACCTCACTGGGGATGTCGATTTGATCAAATAGTGCCCGGGCCGCGCCGGCCACGCCGCACCTGCCGTAGAGCTGGATGAGCGCAGTGCGGATGAAGAGGTCGGCGTGCACGCCGAGGCGGATAGCGGCGGCGTGCAGGGCTCGTCCAGCGGGGAGGCAGGATACGCGGGCGCACGCGCGGAGGAGGCAGGGGAACGAGAAGGAGTCCGGGAGCGCGGCCTGTCGGAGGAGGTTGAACTCCGTGAGCGCGGCGTGGAGCGGGGCGTGGCGGGCGAGGGACGCGAGCACGGCGTTGCGGAGGCGGAGCGGGGCGGCGTGGGAGTCGGGAAGCGCGGCGACGAACGAAGCGGCGACGGAGGGGCACTCGAGGGCATCGCAGGCGGCGGCGAAGCGGGCGAGGAGGGCGTGGTGGTTGTGGAGGCCGAGGCGGATGATGCGGGCGTGGAGCTGGGCGAGGCAGCGCGCGGTGCGGCAGCGGCCGAGGAGAGTGGCGACCGCGGGGGACGGCCGGCTGGCGGCGGCCGCGGCGGAGGGGGGTGGGGGCGCGAGGGCATTGCAGGTGGCGGCGAAGCGGGGTAGGAGGGATTGGTGGTTGTGGAGGCCGAGGCTGACGATGCGGCGGGCAGTGCGGCAGCGGCCGAAGAGGGTGACGACCGGAGGGGATGGCCGACCGACGGCGGTTGTCATGCGGCTGCGGCGGCAAGTCGGGAGGCGGTTGTGGCATTTGCGTTTACCGTGCCTTTCGGCCTTTTGAAATGGATGCTCCTAGTTTTGGACTTCGGGGCACTTGGGCCGACTCGTGCTTGACAAATCCCAATCACACAACAATTTCATTTCCTTCAACAAAAACGAAGGTCAAGAATACACGAAAGAAATTTACGGGTTTTTTATCCATGGAACAAAACATTCCCTCGCTTTCTTACGTGTACGCAAGTTGTTTATTTATTACCACCATCTATTTCTTAAATTATAGGTCGTTTTGGCTTTCTTGCGAAGTACATAGCCTTTGTTATGCATATAGATATACGATATGTGTAGATACATAATAAAAGTTGTGTATATAGGATGTAATCAGTTGTATGGAGGTGATAGAAACAATGAAAGATGGAGGATTTTTTGGCAAATTCAGCTTTTTGTATTTGTATGATAAATGTAACATCATATGGAGCGGACATATCAATTGAGCATTGTGGTAGGGATGCAAATCAGGCGACGCATGAATTGAATTGGCAGGGAGAGCTATGCACTCCAAAATTGTACTTGGGACGATGTGCCCCTAGCTTTATTCTTGATTTTTTTGATAAACGATGTAACTATCCTCAATGAATAAAGTCCGCCATATTGATTCAAAAAGAATTGTTTATTTATTACCATCATTTGTCCCAAATTATAGGTTGTTTTGACTTTTCTACGTACATAGATTCTGATATGCACCTAGATATATGATATGTTTAGATATATAAAAAGTTGTGTATATAGAAAGCCACAACAACCTATACATTAGAACGGAGGGAGCATTACTCTGCCGGTTTTCAAAAGAGTGTAATTCTAGGTTTGAGTACGTCGGATTTTTCTATGTTTGATTAAGTTTATAGAAATTAATATCAACATTTATATCATTTCTTTTGTCTGATTAGGTTTATTAAAAAAATCAAATGCTTGGTTAGAAGTTATGGACAATCCACAAATAGATGCTATCGGATGATGTGGCCTCTCTATTAATATGTCATCGTAAGCTATGGTCTTCAATTTATGAGCAAATTTTTTGGTTTGTACACGCTTTTTAGAGCTCTCTTTGATCATTTTCTTTGTCACGTTTGTGTTGCAAAAATGAAAGGGTTCTTCGTTACTCACTCCTGTCGAAAACATTTGTCACGTATAATTTTGCTCGACCTTTTATGCAGATCTTTGGCAACTAGTACGTTAGAGTGTGTTCCTAAAATCATTCAAATTCATGAAATTTTGCTAATACTGTTCGATACAAATTGCACATATATATGTTACCGTGCATGGTTCCAAACTAAATAATTTTAACGTTACTGATGTTTGTAATTTTATTAATGTTTGACCAAATCTTGCCCTAAACAAACATGTTTTTTTGTGACCGGGGCGGGGGAGTATCTGAGAAGGCTAGCTAGATTCATCAAATTGAACCAGAGCGCGCGGGGGCGGCATAGATTTACATCGAGCTGAATAGTCGCATCGTCACATTCAACCGAATCAGAACCCTATACAGCGCGAAGGTTCGATTGCGGCACGCACGCACGCAACGCAACGCAGCATCAGAGATGGGATCGGAGCTTGATCGATTCACTTCTCGAAGTAGTCCTCTGTCCTGCCCTTGAATCCGATCTGGCCGAAGGTGAGCACGATGAAGAGCCCCAGGTGCCACGTCACTAGCCACAGCCTGCAACGTACAAGGTCGTGTTCGTCCGTGAGTTCGTTGTAGTCGCATCAGATCAAATGCATAAGAACAAAAGCTAGCGGTCTCACCAGAACTGGGAGGTGACGGGCGGCGGCGTGGGGAAGTGGGCCAGCTCCTCGCCGATGCTGGAGAAGAAGAGCCCCGTGAGGCTGTTGCCGTTGATGGCCGGGACGCTGGACGGGCCGATCCAGCCGATGAGCCCGTAGCCGATGATGCCCAGGTCCCTCCGCAGCCAGTCCCGGGGAAACCTGCAGGCGAGCGTGTCGTACAGGATCGATCGATCGGAGGAACGAAACCGCCGCGATCAGCAAATTAATATTTCACAGAGCGAGCTCGTAAGTTGAGTGACTCACGTCATGCAGGTGATCCTGCCGTTCCTCTCCAGGTTCCTGGTCATCAGCGGGTTCCTCGCCGACACCCGGCTGCCCCTCGCGAAGCCTGCACACAAGGACTATTTCATCAGGAAATACAACATCTATCGTCAGTGGTGCAAGTGCAACTGCAAGAAGGTGCATTCTGCAGACGATGATGGAATGGGAACAAGGAACGTACTGGTGGAGAAAGCCGGCCGGCTGGCCAGGGAGGCGCCGGCGAGGCCGGAGACGGTGGAGGCGGAGGCGGAGGCGGCCATGTCTGTCGGTCGGTTGAGTCCGTCAACTGCTGCAAATGAATGGCCCGGGGTCCGTTTTAATTTGTGGCTGCGCTGCACGGCGGGCTTTGTGGTGCGGAGGCGCGGCGCGGACAGGGACGCCGGGCGCGCGGTGGTGTGGACATGGACATGGACATGGACTGGAGCTGGAGCGAGAGGACGGGATGAGACGCCGCGGATTGTTGTGGGGGCGCGCCTGACGTGGATCCCTTGCAGCGGATGAAATAGATTCGTCGCCGGGCAAGCCGCCTATGGGAGCGCTACACTTGGATATGTCTGGATAAGATATTCTACTACTAGTCGGGCCGTGTAGAGAACGCACGCACGGTCGGTCCGGCAGATGCGGCGAGGGCCGGAGAATATCTGAGAAGTCGCTAGTTGGGGCTGTTGCATTTGCCCCCATGCTCCAAATTGTGTGGATCAACGATGCAACTTGTTGCGTGATTCTGTGCTAGAGCAACATGTGTATGTATTGGCTTGCTTGACTCTTCATCGGCTCAAGGAATTTCCATTCTGTACAGAGGACAACTACAGAGTGATATACTCTGGAAATACTGCAGTGGTTAACGACTATTCCCTTTGTCCCAAAATAAAATAAGTGAGCTTTTAGCTATGAATTCTAGACAACTTATCTAAATTCATAACTAAAAATTTAAAGTCCAGATTCATAACTAAAATGTCATTTATTTTGGAACGGAGGGAATACATACCACGTGAAGCGTGGGGGAAAAATAGATGAGGATGCAGTAGTGGGTATCTGCCACGGGTTTATGCCATTTCTCTATGTATAATCATCCAACTTATGAGACAACTGTATAAATTATTAAGGAGGGATAGCTGGGAAGAAAAAATTACAGGCTCTCTCATACATTAGATGATTATGTATAGACATGTAGTATGAATCTATGGCACGTACTCAAGGTTGCTTCATGGGAACAGTCTCTACAGAATTATTATTTTTTTAATGTGGAAGTGGGACAACCGGTACTGGGCCTTGGTCATGTGCTTAGGCTGTTAAGAACTTCGGTTTGTTGGGTTCGGGGACTGCCTGTGTAGGCTTGGTTCACCTGACGGCCTTGGCTAAGCAATGCTTGCTTGCTTTCAAGTGACGGTCACCAATGGGTTGGGCTGTTGGGCTGCAATTTTCATTTGAAAAAAAGTTCATTTTATCTCCATAAATTATTGCCCAATTTTTTTCATTAAATTGTAAAATCAGACATCTTGACCAGCAAACTCTCAAAACAATTCTAATTACCTTCCTGCTCTGGATTGAAGTGGTTTTAAAGGTGGCATCGTCTTGTTTTTAGTTAATAAAAATCCGATAAACACTTGATAAGATTTTTAAACCACAAATATCTCTAAGGTTTTAAATATTATGAGAAAAGTCCTAGACCTTGTGAGACTATAAATATAAAGCTTCTGAAAATATCTCTAGAAGCTTAAAAATAGATTTAGCTCTACAAAAATGGTATAAATATAAAAATATCTAGTAAACTCCAAAAACATCCTATGTTTAAACATACCTTGAAAACTTTCTCGACAAAATTATTAGATACAACCAACATGAATGCAAGTTGAATGCGTTCATGCTATGTAGTCATGTTGGTCGCGTATTATGTTCTCTTGTGAAATATTTTCAAAACATGTTTATCATCAATTAGAATGATTTACATTTTTTCTTGATATTTTCTCATTTTCCTATATCTAAATATTTTTAAAAAGTGTCTACAAATATTTTCATGAGCTCTAAATATTTTATTTGGATTATCTGTATCTCAATTTATATCTAGGATTTTTATTATATTTTTAAAAGCTTATAGATATTTTCTTTGGTTTAAAAACCATATTAAGTATTTACCATATTTTTTAGTTAAAAATACGAATCTAGTTTTAAAACCACTTCAAATCAGGGTCGAGAGATAATTGAATGGTTTTGAGAGTTTAGAGGGTAAGATGTCTAGTTTTAAAGTATGATGAGGAAAATCAGACCACAATGATAGTTCATGAGTATCAGATAATGGAGGACTCAATGCAATGAGAGGGAATCAATCGAGCCTTTTTTTAGCAAAGTCCGATTCACCCTGCTGAACTAATCCGGTACATTTGAAAGACCCTCTCGAACTTCAATACTACATAACATACACATCTTTACTTTTAAAATTAGAAAAATATCCCCTTGGCCATTTCTAAGTGATTTCTTAGGTGATTTTGTGACATGACAGTGGGGCCACCAATCGTTTGGTCTACCTCTTTATTTTATATAAAAAAGCATAACAATTTCATATGAAGTCATATGAATACAAACTTCATATCAAAGTTGTAGCTCAACATGATTTACAACTTTGTAGTTCATATTATTTTTATTTAACATATTTTAAAGGGTCAAATATTCATTTTAAGTTACTAGTTTTAAAATTCATTTTTAAAATTTTTCAACCTCGGATGCTGACATAGTCTATACCAAAGTTCTAGTTCCCAGTACGATCTATAACTTCGTAACTGATATTTTTTTTATCTAAGATCATTTAGAGGCCTAAATATGTGTTTTGTTCTCTAATTTTGAACTCAATTTTTTTTGAATTTTTCAAACGACCTTTGTTGTTGATTTGTCTACATCAAAGATGTACCCCCTCTGTCTTGAAATACAAGGCATTGAAGCAATCAAATTTTGTCCCTAATTATAAGGTGTTTTAGGTGAATGAACTCCTCCGAAGTCTCAATCACATGCATACCTCATTAATGTCTACCACTAGGTTTAAAATACGGTAAGCACAAAATCTCCATATAGTTAAAGAAGGGTTACATGCGTCATTTGTATTACCTCATATACCTTTCGTTTCATGACGGAGGGAGTAGCTCTCAATATGTTCTATATTATAGTTGACAAAGAATTTCATCTAGGGCTGTTTAGAGGCCAAAATTTTTGTTTTAAATTCTCAAATTTTAAAATTCGTTTTTATTAGCCAAACAACAAAAATCTGGGGGCCTAAATGATCTCAAATAAAAAAAATTGTAACTATGAAGTTATAGATCATATTGAGAGAGACAATTTTTGTATAGATTAGAATGAGACCTCACTGCACGCTAATACTGTACATCATTGATCTGTCACTCATTCTCACTCCACGAGCTCCCTGCTGCTAACCGGCCGGTTGCTAGACTGCGCCCGGAGAGCCGTCGGGTCGGTCGATACATTGCACCGACGTTGCCTGGACGACATGGTGGTTCATGATGCCGCTGTTCCGCGACCTGCCACCTGCCGGTGACGCCGTGGCGCTTGTCGGCCGGGAGCAAGCGGAAGGAGGCGGAGAATGCCGGGCGCCGAGGATGAACACGAGGACGAGGGCCGGCCCGGCCGTGATCGACCCTCGATCGACAGCGGCAGGATCGTGTGCCTGGCAGCGAGTCAGCGACACATCTGTGGACCGACGGACCGAGGCCCCATAATGGACTGCTGCTGCCATCGCTATCTCTGGTTACCAAACTGACGACGCGATTAACGATTCTGCTCTTTGTGCAATGGGGATGGGCCCCTCCGAATCTGCTCCTATGCTCACAGTTCTATCATGATCTCTACTAGTACAGTACAGGCAGAAGAAACCAACTAGAGTAGCAATAGCATGCCATACATCCAATTGAAACCGGCATGGCAATTGGCAAACACTGGTTTACAGAGGTGGAAGAGTTCAACCGGGACTCGGATGCCTGCCGACACCCAACCACAATGTCTGCATCGCACACCAGTTACCTCCGGCCCACGGCAAAGAAACGAATAAATAACGATGCAGTAGTTCTAGTACAGGTTGTGATCCAGAATTCCGGATGCATCCATGCCCGCGCACAGGCACAACATCATTTCCTGCTGCTCACGGGATTAGTCGGGCACGCTTGCCGACTCGCGCGAGCAGGGCTCATTTGAAGCTGTTTGCTTTTGGATTCATCCTATTGCCATGTTCTCGGCGGCGCGGGGTGATGGATCGACGACGACGATAGCTGTCGTGCACTCACGCTCGCGGCCAACGCCCAATGCTATATTTTTCCAGCTGAATTCCGTGGAGGACCCCCTTCGCGGACATAAGGATGAAGGATCGAGTTATCTGGACATGGACGTATCCGGCACCAAACATTCCGTCGTCAAACCCCGTCCACGTCCAGTCCAAAAGGCCAAGTTAGGCATGTCGGTCTCTACGTACAGAAACACAGAGAAAGACTGCAGTGCGTGAGTGAGAATGAGAGATCACTGAGATGGAGATGGAGATGCAGACCGGTTCCTGTAGCTGATTTCCATTCCATCCATGATCCATCCAATTCCAATCCAACCAGATGCGTCCAGGTGCAGGCACAGCCGCCGCACGAGGACAACGCCCGCCCGCCCGCCGGTGATCTTGACAATCCAGGCAAAACCAGCCCACGGATTGATAAATGCATACTACTACGTACATGGAAGTGGAACAACGTCACAACGAGTGTCCTCGATCAGTTGCTGGTGCCAACATGCAAAAGCAAAAGGGAAACAGTTCTTCAGGCGCGGAAGAAAAAACGGGAAGACAGTGACGTGAAGGTAAACGAGAGGCAAGGGTTGAGACTTTGGTCAGGAATTGCGGTCACGAGCTCACTCCAGTTCCTCAGCCAGTGCGCCGATTCACTGAACGAGAAGAGAAGCATACGGGTAGGACGACGCAGGCACCCTGTGTCGTGAGCTGTGATGAGATGAACCGACAAACTGCTCTTTCTCTGCGGCTCTTGAGTGAGGCTTTCCACGGGTAGCTTGACGGCCTTTTCCTGCAGGTACTAGATACATGCACCACACTACCAACTGTACCACAGCACAAGTCGTAAGCAGCGGGCGGCGTCTCGTCCTTCTTTTGAAGAGCGCTCACTCGCAGTCTCATCAGGACGAGTCCTGACCAAGGCACTGAGTCGAGACGCTCCTTTCTTAGACGGCACCACTGTGGAAAACGGCGTTTCTGTTGTACGAGAAG